TGATCATAATTTGGTCTATATTTTTGTGTTACGGGTGCATTTTAACATTTTGCATATAATTACATATTATGATTATGAATTATTATTATTGATATTATTTTTTTTAATACTGATTTTGATTATTATCAATAGCTTAAAAGGAAAAATTAACTGACACAGATCACCGTTTTTCTTTCTTTGGTTGCTGGTCTTAGGGTTGTCACTGCTGATTATTTATCTCCATTTGACCCTGTTCTCTGCATTTTTCTCTATCACTCTGACTAACTGTCCTCTCTATCCATATATACAAACTTCCTTTGGCTTTCCTCTTCTTCTGCTTGATGTTATCATCCTCAGCATTCTATGTTCAATATACCCATCATCACTTCAGCACATGCTCAAAGCCTCCTAATGTTGCTCTCTCACTCTGTCTTTGGAAAGACCTATCTGCATTCAAATGAATTTCTAATGTACTGAAAATCATAACATCCTCAGTTGTGCTACATCTATCTCCACCATCTGTCATCACTGCCTCCAATTCACACAACAGCTGGTCCTACTATAATCTTGTAAATTTTCTCCTTCCTTCTGCAGACACAGTGCTAATCTATTATAAATTAATCTTGCCACTTTTCTCCTCCTGCTCCACTCTGCTTTCACATCATGCAGACCACCATCTGGGTGCTATTTAGTTATACTATCTCTACCATCATCTTACATTCTTCAATCTCCCTCAGATTGCATCAGCTGCATAGGACATGGTCCATCATTATGCATCTTCTCCCTCTCTTATAAATGTTACACTGCGGTCCTCTCATTAAAATGCATAATTGTTCACATATTCATTTCCAAGTGAAACCAGAGAATAGTATCAGTAACTTTTTTGGATGAATTGAATTATATAATTTCAAATTTTCTGTGGTTTGTTATGTATTTACAGTTCCAAAGATCTTTATGCAAGTGTGGCCAGGAAAGCCTTAGAAAGTGCATGCCATACCCTCCTCTTTCCAGCCATGTAAATCTTAATGAAATGGTTTGCTTCTAGTTAGTGCTACTGTCTTTTTTTAAACTTAAATAAAAGACTTTTCCACTGACAGTAGGCAACAGCACTGCAGTTGACATTCTACATGTTTTGCTAAAAGGTAAAATTAACTCCTAATTTTGTCTACATTTTTTAGCTGTATAATAGAAAACTGGCCTCATTAACATGTTTGAGTGCATTACTGAATACACATCATAATTTTCCACCATTATCTTCTTTTCATCCTCCTGTACCACCTCCTCCTCTAATGTGTTTAATGTATCTCTTTGGATTTCATTTTGAGGGAGTAAACTATGTGGAATCCAATGGGAATGTATGATGGGAACTTTGCCACATTCCCTTCTGAAAGAAAGCAAGTCTTTTTAAAAACTATGTTTAATGACCATAATTTTCAAGGAAATTATCCTAAAATATGGTTTTATTATTGCAAAGTTTCGCTATACCTTAGAAAAAATGTCAGCCTATGAGCTTTAAAACCAGGATTTAAAATTGCCACTGTGTGCAATTTAATCATTTTCTCATATAAATAACATTCCCACATTAAGATGGCCATGTTAAAAAAAAATATATATATATATATATGATCCAGTAGATATTTAATCAAGGCTTTAAAGGCTGTCTGATTAATTTGATTTTATTTTTCAATTTATATTGGTCTGTTCCAGAATATTATTCAAATTAATCAGATAACTTCACGATAATATTATTACAGACAAATGTTCTTTTATGGTAATGAATACATAACTGAGGTTTCATTTACTACGTTTTATTATGTACAAATCATACATATTTTCTAAATATTGATAAGTTAAAAACACATTGCCACACTGCCACACAAACAATACAAAGCACATAAAATAATAATAATAAAAAAAATCATTCACTGTAAAAATAATGCCACAACTCTGAACATGTCATAAAGAAAGAAAGATAGAAAGGAAGATATATATTTGTGCTGATATTTAAAAACTTTTTTGACATGTACTATTTTCAAAATGAATATAATAACAAACATTATGCATCAGTGCATTCACAAAAATCTCAAATTGCACAAACCAACAAAGAAGTTATAAAATCACAAAAATTTCCCAACATAAGAAGAATAAAGTATATAGTCTAAATAAGATTGAAGCCATGGAAGAAAAACGTTACTCCCATAACATGTATCAGCGAGCACCAAATTTATTAGAAAAACGTGAGCCAAAAGTGCAACCCCAGTCAGGACCCCATACCCTGAGTTATCATTAACCAAAGGTGGAAATATCAACTATTGACTGTGATGGAATAATGAGCAACTGAAGTCAAGATCAGTCCTACTAAAGAGGATTTTCTGCTAATAAACATTACAACAATCTATTATCATTTGATACAAGAAGCAATGGTTATAGTTATCTAAATATAGAGGGAAAATAGACTGAATAGATACAATTATGTTATTCCTAATATCAGAAAATGGCATTAAATGAAAGTGATGTGATTTTTTAAAATATATTTCTTGGTCTAGTTCTGCAGCACATGTTCACCCATATACTGCATTGTCTTTGGAAACATAATACCTATCAGTTATAAAACTTCTAAAATAAAGTTGGCAATCAAAACACACATGGAAATCTGACACACAGAATAAGAATGTATTGACTGCACCATATAATCATATCCCCACACATGTATTACCAACTAGGACAGAAATACCAATAGATTCAGAATCATATTGGAAAACAGTAATGTCTGAACATGAAGGACCAGTTAGACAATGCTACATAAATAGTAAACACTCAAGAATGGTATAAATAATGACTCAGAACTGTAGAACTGAGTCTTTCTCTCTTGTTAATAAAACAAGGAAACAAAACAAAAGTTTATAACTTTTTACCTCAGCAGTGAGTGTTACTACTATATTACTCATAAGCAATGTGAATTGAGTTGAACTATTCTTTTCTAGATCTATGAATTTTAAAAATTTGCTAAGGATGCAGAGACTAAATGAAAACAAATAGCCTACAATGCAAATAGCTTAAAAGATTTGGGTATATTATGCCAATAGAAGCTCAAGGATGGCAATGCTCGCACTCTATTACTATCTGAAGAGGAATGTCCTTTTTCACTGTTGTCATATCTCGAAAATGAATGAGACCTTACAATGATTAAGAAAGAAAGGATGGTGGACTGTCAATATAACAAGTGTTAATGTGTAACAAAGCAGGAGATAGGTAGTTTGGGCATACAAAGATCTTGCAATCTTTGTTTCCAAATCATTTAAGATTAAGTACAAAAATACATAACTTTTTTTCCTTTTTACACCCCAACACATTCAATATAAAATAATACAAATAAATTACAAAAAAACTAAAACTCTAAATGGAATGCATTTTCTGAGATAAGGAAGCTTAAAAAACAAACACTTTTAGGGTACCCTTATCTGGGAAAGAATCATGAAGACGGGGAAAACATAACAGCAAGAAAACCTGAGTTAACAGAATCATGTGCTGTCCTGGTTTCTTGGTTTTCTCTTCCTTCTATACCTTGAGACTACACATGAAGATCCATAAAACATGTCAAAGCTAATGACAACTGCCAGAGTTCAATACAAAATCCCTGTATGGTACATGTATGCTATGATATCCATTAAACAGCCGCTTTGTTAAAGTTATCAAGCTTTATGACTTTCTCTGTAATATTTTCATCATTGAATATGCTATGCAACCTTTATGTTTGCTGTGATGCGAAATGCATGAAGTGATATGAAAAACAGGATTTTCACCTATTCATTTTAAACTCTGTCAGGAATGTCAATAAATATACCTACATGAATTGACAGACATGCCCATATTGAAGCTATATGAGGATATGTGTGTCCAAAAGGTATTCTCAGAACAACTGCCCAAAATGCATTCATTAAATGTTTTGCTGGCTGAACATTTCACTCATAACATAAACAATATACTCATGTTTATGTACTATGGTCATAGGATAGTGTGCATTAATGTAAACATATCTATGCTTATGTTTCAGATGAAATTTTATGCTAGCAAAACATACAATAAATGATTTTTCAGGCAGCTGGTCTGAGAACATCTTTGGACATGCAAGCCTTCATAAAACCTTTGTTGTCATATAATTATATCTGAACATTCATACTGATCACTGACTAACAATAAGCATTTATTTCATAAACTTTATTATAAAAAATCATATATCAATCAAACCCTTATCATGTCATAGCCATCAAGATTATGACAATAGTAATAATAAAACTTCATAACACCCAAAAAACATTTAATGAGTAATGAAAAGAATCTTTCACATAACTGAATACTCATCTGTACCAGAGGGAGAAATATCTGTATTCCATTTGTATGAATAAGAAGTTTCAGTACACATAATTCTCACATTTAAAATGAGTTAGTTGTTACAACAAATACTATTGATGATGGTCACTTTTATGGCAGGTATTGAAGCTTATAAGTCTCAGCGTTGTTCATATTCTACCATATACTGGGCAACATATGAACTCTTCTTTAAAGAGGTATTCTACACTAACAAAATAAGCATTTTATCATAGAGAAATCACAGTATCTAAATAATAAATATCAGTTAAAAATAGGAAGAAAAGAGAGGAACTAAAGATATTTGATTCAGTTTGGGGAACAGACTTGCTTCATTTCAAGTACAGACTTTTTCTATCATACCCTTCTTCTGATTCATTCACTGTTATGGTTGTGGAAGTTCACATGTGTGTGTATATGTACAGTAATCTACTGAAGTATTCAGAAATGACTTTGGTGGATCTCATATACTGTATATATAAATACTTTTTCAATAAAGAAAACATGATTGGCTCACACATTCAAAACATATCTCACACAGGGTAAGATTTCACCACTGGGATAATGCAAAAGAATGAGCTAAACATAGTTTTCTCAGCATCCATAAAATGATATTGAAATATTTCATGGTACATATCTTGTGGATACATATC